TACGCTTCGGCCGGGTCCGCAAAATCGCCCGTAAACGGGGTCCAAATTTTCGCCTCGCGGGAAAGCCCGATTGGCATTGCTACAATAGAACATGATCTATCCTTGACTAGATCTAGATCTAATATATCTAGGAAAGTGGCTATTCTCACCCGCCCGGAAGTTCTCGCAAGATCTACTCCTCCCCTCTTCTCTCTCTCTCTCTGTCTCTTTCTGAATACTGTCTATCGGTGTGGACGATCAAATTGACCAAAACAAAGTTTAAAAATGATGTTAAAACACAAAAGTAAATTAATTTGGTTGTCTACAAAGATGCTAAAAAGATGCTACGGCTATTTAACTTTTTGAATCGAGCCGAACTACGCGGGTCGCCATTTTGTTTTGTTCTCTCTCTCACTCTCTCTCTCTCCACTGCCCACAGACAAAATTGTACGCTTTTAGTAGGCTACAAGTACAGTTGTAATGGAACGTTTGTTCACAGCACAGAATTCTACAATTTTTCTCTTATCACAGTGTAGAATTCTGTGGTTTAGGGTGAACGCAAAATTTGTTGACACGCGCACCGGGTGAGAATAGCCACAAGACCCGCCTGCACTATTCTCACCCCGGGTGAGAATAGAGGTGGCCTATATCTAGATCTAGATCTAGATCTAGATTCTAGCTAGAATTTAGACGAAACCGGCCGAGGGCAAACCTTCAGATCAAGTGACAAGTCTATCTGATCTCACTCATCACTGATCGGCACTTACTTGAAAGAATCTTTCTCCGCTTCTCTAAACTCGAAAAGTGAACATAAAATTGTATCTAAACTTACCTGTCCCTGGACTTCAGCATCGCTCATACCAGCCATTGTCAAATGTATGAAGGATTTATTGCCAAGAATGGAAATGCTGGTACAGTCTGACTTGCTCTAGCAGTGTTCCCAAAGCTCACAAGACGACCGGAAGTTGTAGTCTTGTCTTGTGATCAGATACAAGCCAGAGCCGCCGGAACTCAAACAGTAATGTAAACAGTGTAATACAGCTCAGTAATATTCACTTTTTACTTCTAAAATTTCTTTCATATGCATTAAATTTGTCTTTATTATGTAAAATTCATATATTTTTAAAATTTTGTTTAAGATACAGTTTGATATGTTCTAAATTGTAGAATATGTTCCATTTGACCAATACACGTCAATTTGGCATTTCAAAAAATGTAAACTTCTCAGCTAATGCTAAAGAAAAAGGGTAGCGATATTTCCACGGCATGCCGTCTGAACATCGGAAGTGATATTTCCACGGAATGCCGTCTGAACATCGGAAGTGATATTTCCACGGCATGCCGTCTGAACATCGGAAGTGATACTTGTACGGCATGCCGTCTGAAGATTGTAGTTTATACATTATGTATTTCGACGGCGTGCCGTCTGAACATCGGAAGAGATACTTATACGGTATGCCGTCTTGAGTCTTAAGAAAGTTGATATTTCGACGGCATTCTGCCCAAATACAGGGCTGCAGTTATTCGTAAAATAGTCTGAATAGCTCTAACTAAGAATCACTAACTTGATCTTGTCAGAGTTGTTTGTACAATTCCTGTCTGTCTGTCTGTCTGTCTGTCTGTCTCTCTCTGTCTCTCTCTGTCTCTCCCTCTCTCTCTCTCTCTCTCTCTCTCTCTCTCTCTCTCTCTCTCTCTCTCTCTTTCTCTCTCTCTCCTCTTTCTTCCTTTCTTTGTTATTTCTTTTCTGTTTGTCTCTCACGGCATGCCGTGGAAATATCGCTACCCTCTCTCACTTACACTTTTTCTCCCTCTCTCGCCTATCTTTTTGTCTTTCTTTCTCTGTTGTTTCTCTGTCGCTCTCTCATTCTCCCTCCCTCCCTCCCCCCTTCTCTCTCTCTCTCTCTCTCTCTCTCTCTCTCTCTCTCTCTCTCTCTCTTCTTTCTTTCGTATTTCTTTCCTGTTTGTCTCTCATTCTCCCCCCTCTCTCTCTCTCTCTCTCTCTCTCTCTCTCTCTCTCTG